AAAAAAAAGTTCGCAATTGACAGGCTGCCGCTCGTCCTGCTGAGGGGAAGAAAACCATCTTCTGCTCGCGGGGTAGTATTTTAAAAGACTTAGTCTCGGACAATATATGGTTGTCAGAAGTCTCGCCGGTTAATTATAAGGCTTTTTCAATAACTGGAAAGCTCATTACGTATGCAAGATTTAGACAACTAATAAATGTGTCGATGACGCGGTCAACAAACGATCACACACCGGGACATTTAGGTCAATGGTGCAAAGAATATCAGAAAATCTTAAAAAAACACATGCACTAATTAAGAATAAACTAAGTGATCTTTATCAATGTTTATTACTTCTTTTTCATGTAACGTTTTTGTTCTTSTCACCCCCTTCCCCGTCGCCCTCCCGATCCGACCAACATAAACATTGCATTTTCAAATACTCTCCCTCATCGCTGAATTATTATCGGCCGCGATACATTTTGTAATAATTTATTTTCGTCTCTCATGTAGTATGCATCACTGCAGTTTAGAGACATAGTTATGTTCTCCACTTTCTTCAAATGAATTACCGTATTACGACTAGTAAAAATTATATCATAAATATATAGTCCAAAAAAAAAGTTCGCAATTTTATCAATTTTCATAATTTGCGAACTCTGATGCCGTATCATATTATATACTAGTATATGACAGCATAGCATTTGTCCAAAAAAAAAACCCCGATGCTTGAGATATATTAATGATTGGCTACGACCAATCCCTGGGGGGGAGGGGGGGGTACTACCACCCCAACTTGGGTAGGGGCGTGCCGCCTGGACCTTAAAACCCTGACCCTATCCCAGACCTAAAAATTCGAATTTATATACCCTATCCCAGACTAAAACTAAGAAGTGTACACCCTATCCCAGACTAAATCCGGTATAGTCAATAGATTGCAATCAATATTCACTAACGCGCTTATTGTTTTTGTGTCGTCAGAAAGCGTAGCCTATTCTCCAGACAAGAACGACCAAATCGTAACCCTATCCCAGACAAAAATGATACCCTATCCCAGACAAAATGTCAAAAAATGATACCCTACCCCAGACCCAGAA